TACAAATAGAGCAGCCATAATCATGTTAAATGGTGGAGCAGGCTAGTGGGGCTGAATGGCCTATTCTTGCACTTTATTCAAATGCTTTCTCTGAGAAGGCACATGCATTCACAGATAAAAGTAACTTAGGAGATTGGTCACTTTTCTATTGTGTCATTCACTTCAAGCATCCTTCACCCTTGTTTGCTCCAGGTGTACATTTATGAGAGCATTTTGGCACGCACTTAATAAACAGAGGGATATCCTTCATTGTGTCTCTACAACATGTGCTCTGTCCCTCCCCCATGGTCTTAATCTCATGTTTTATTTCAGATTTTGTTATTAGTCTCTTAACTTCCTTAAATTCCATTCAATTGTACTTCCTGTTTTACAAAGATCTTTGTCTCCATGTGCATGTGGTCATGTATTTGGAGACCAAGATGCAGACTCTAAGTGAGAATCTCTATTAAACCTTGATGTAGTGCTCAGGTGTAGAGATGGAGGAGAAGTTGTAGGAGCAAGAAGTTGAATGTGACATCAGACTGTAAACCACATTGGGGGTGGAGCAGGGTTTGGGGGCGAGAAACAACAGTAGCCACAAGTGTGCAGGAAACTAGAAAGAAGCAGGAGATATAAATTATGAGAACCACAAGCATAGCCATGCGGTGGCCTTTAGAAATTCACAGCCAATGAGCTGCAGGCAACCAAGAGATCATGGGATTTATCATCTTGGTTTAGCTGCATTCTCTTTTATGGGTTTTCGTGAAACAATAGTGTGAGTAGATTGGCTGCCCTTCTTTCAAAGAGTAGCAGTGGGTGACTGAACTGCAAACCAACTATGAAGCAAATTTCCCTTAACTGTCTGTTGATCAGTGGTACAACAGATTAAGTATTGATAAGCTGTTGTTAAAACTAGATATTGAACGCAGCAAACAGGGATACTCAAACAATCATTACTGTTTGATTTTATCAGTCTGTATTCAGGTCATCAACCTAACACTGTTTCTCTCTCGAAAGGTGCTGCTAAGCTGTACATTAAAAACAGAAAATGTTGGAAATAAAGCACAGGAAGTGAGGCAAAGGTTTTGTTTGCCAATAGAAATGAATTGTTGCAACTTTAAACTATGAAAAGGGAAATAAATGGTATGGTTTAGATCTGAAAAATAATCGATGTTTACTGCAGCACTGGCCTAAACAGGAGCAAGAGGTCACTGCAGTAAAATTGACAGTGGTTAAACAAATACATATGTAACATGGCATTGTACAGCACAAAAAGGAGGCCAATCAGTCTGCTATGCTTGTACTGATTGTTTGAAAAACCTCTGCAATTATTCCTACTCCCCTGCTCTTGCCCCATTACCGTGTCATTTTGTTCCTCAAGTATTTATTCAATTCCCCTTTGAAAGTTATTATTGGATCTACTTCCATAATATTTTAGCATTCAGGCATCACAATCTAAGATGAACTCTGTGTAAATAAAATTATCCTCATTTCTCCTCTTGTTCTTTGGTCAATTATCTTCAATCTGTGCCCTTTGATTAATGATCCTCCAAGCAGTGGAAACAGTCTCTTCATATTTAGACTACTGAATTCTATTGTAACTCTGAACATTTCTATTAAATCTTCCCTTAAGCTCCCCTTAAACTTCTCTGCTTTAAGAAGAGCAATTCCACTGTTTCTATCTCCAAATAATTTTGATGCTTCATCCTCTGGACCCCCTCCAAGGCTTTGACACACCATCTATCAAGTGATGCATAGAATTGGATACAAGACTCCGGTTGAGGTTAAATTTGTATTTTGTAAAAGTTTAGCATATCTTCCTTGCTTTTGTATAATAAACCTATTTGTAAACATCAAATATTTCATCTGCTTTTGTTTCAACTTGCCCTGCTGCCTTCTAATGTTTGTGAAGCCACAGTTCTCTCCACTCTTGCATCCCTTTCAGTTAATTCTGCTGACTGTACCCCAACTTACCCCAAGTCTCGTTCATAAATCACCCTCTGTGTTCACTGACCTACACTGGCTCCAGTGAAGAAATGTGATTCTGAACTTTATCTTCGAATCCTTCACTCTTCCTATCTGTGTTACCTCCAACTCCAACACTTCCCAGATTGCTGTGCTCCTTGAATTTCACTCTCTTGATCTTGCCCGATTTTAATCACTCTATCACTAGCAGCCATGCCTTCAGCTACCTTAGCCCTTATCACTGGAATATGCTCCCTCAACCTCTGCATCTCGGCTCTCTCTCTCTCGGGCTTTTAGAGACTTCTTAAAATCTACCTGTTTAACTAAGCTTTTGATCACCTGCCATATTACTTCTTCATGTGGCCAACAGTAATATTTTGATTGAGTTTTGTGATCAACATAAAAACATAGAAACTGGGTAGGGCAATCGGCCCACTAATCCAGCCCCATCATACAGTCATAGAGTCATACAGCAGAGAAACAGACCCTTTGGTCCAACTTGTCCGCACTGACGAGATATCCCAATCAGACCTAGTCCCATTTGCCAGCATTTGGCCCATCTCCCTCTAAACCCTTCCTATTCCTGTACCCATTCAGATGCCTTTTAAATGTTGTAATTATACCAGCCTCCACCACTTCCTCTGGCAGCTCGTTCTGTACACACATCACCATCTACATGAAAAAATTAACCCTCAGGTCCTTTTTAAATCTTTTCCTTCTCACCTTAAACCTATGCCCTCTGGTTTTGGACTCCCCCATCCTGAAAAAGGCATTTGCTATTCACCCTATCCATGCCCCGGATAATTTTATAAATCTCGATAAGGTCACCCCTCAGCCTCCGATGCTCCAGGGACAAAAGCCCCAGCCTATACAGCCTCTCCCTAAAATTCAAACCCTCCAGTCCCAGCAACATCCTTGTAAATCTTTACTGCACCTCTCTAGTTTAATAACATGCTTCCTCTCAATCGTGGTTTGGGAGACCATGTTAATCCTGTTAGGTGAATATAGTTGATGCTGATAAATGAAATCTAACACTAAATAAAATAAAACTTGCATTCACATAGCAGTTTTCAGGATCAGTAGCCATCTCAGTGTGTTGTACAGTCAATAAAGCAAAGCTAAATAAAAACCAAAAGAACTGCGGATGCTGTAAAGCAGGAACAAAAACAAAGTTGCTGGAAAAGCTCAGCAGGTCTGGCAGCATCTGTGAAGGAACAAACAGAGTCAACATTTCGGGTCCGGTGACCCTTCCTCACAACAGGCTGAATGAAGTAAAGCTGTCTCCCTCAAAGTTGATGTCGATCGGTCAGCAGAAGGGATGGGTATTTATGGAAGTTAAGACATGGGCAACAGGGTTAACTAAAAAGGATTCAAGAAAGTTGAGACCTGTGGTTTCATATTTGAACATGAAGAGATGTTGGAGAAGCAAATTAAATCATTATATTTATAAAGAGCAATAAACCAATTAGGAACACTAACTCGTGAATTTCACATCAACTCTAGAGCAGAAGTCATGAGACGTTGTGAAACGTGGTTTATTGAGCCATTTGTGGAAAAATATTTCTAATCTGATCTTGTTCAAATTTGGTATCCAATTTAAGAAGTATATGTAGGAACAACTTCTTAAATACGCAGTAACAATTTTTAAAACATTAACTCATGGGATGTGGCCCACCCCTAATTGCCCTGGAGAAAGTGGTGGTGAGTTGCTTTCTTGAACTGCAGCAGTCCTTGTACTGCAAGGATATGCACAAATCACTACATCTAGGGCAATATTAAGGAAGCCTAATCATGAGTCAGCTTGCATTTGTACACTTCTGCAGTTACACTGTGTCTCTACTGACTGAAGATAGCTAAATCAACACCATTACAACTGTTCTTCTGGTCAGTTATTCACTCCCTGGTTCATAAATGTCAACTGATAACATAAGCCAGAAGGACTCTTGAGGCACAGTGGCAACGTCCCTCACTCTGGTCCAGAAGACCAAGGTCAAGTCCCACTTGCTCCAAAGGTGTGTCATAAGATTTCTGAACAGATTGATTAAAAATATAAAAATTAAAAATATAAGGGTCTCTAGTGGTGCAATGGTTCTGTCTTTACTTCTGGACAAGAAATCCCACCTCTTCCAGACATGCGTCATAACAAGTTGATTAAAAGCATCTATAACGCCATTTATAATCCCATTTCTGAAACGTCAACTTTCCTGCTCCTCTGATGCTGCCTGGCCTGCTGTGTTCCTCCAGCTCCACACTGTGTTATCTCTGACTCCAGCATCTGCAGTTCTAACTATCTCTATAATGCAATCCACGGTTTAACTACCTGTTCACCCTGCGGTTCTCGGCAGATCATAAGATTTTACTGGGTTCTTTTGAACAATTAATACATTCTTTTAAACTCGTGGCTAATTATGCGCTGGGAATTCAACAGTGTGTGTGAGAATTTTCCGAATTAACCTGATAAGATGTTAAAAGAAGACATGCTATCAAAATTGAGTCATTAGGATTGTGCTAACAGAATGTTTCGCTGGGAGCCAGAGCCTAGTTGAAAGTGTTGCAAAAGGAAAGGAAATTGTTGTCACCGGGGTAACCGTGGCAGCTCAAAATGACAACAAGATTCACCTACTACATGAGTTTATCCTGTACACAGACAGGGGGTGAAGTGTAATTTCAGGTTGATTAGGAATCAAAGGAAACTACATTTATATAGCGCATTCCAACACAACAAGCCGTCCTAAAACACAATCCATTCACCGAAGTCCCTTCGGAATGAATTCAGTTCCCACTGTAAAGACACAAAAAGCGTCTCCTCCCATTCCAACTTAAAAATCAGCAAATGTTAAACTTGCTCCAAAGACACAAATGACCGTCCCTGGTATTTCTCAGACTGGAAAAGTATAACACCTTGTTTGGGGACAATGTTTCAGCCAGGAAGAGATCGTATGGGCTTCTTGCTCTGTGCACCTCAATAAGTTGTCGCATTAAACACGCCAACACCCTCGAACTAATTTAACGATAAAACTTACATAAATCTTAGAGTAAACTTAGAACAAACTTACCATCCCCTCGCTCCGTCCCTCAAGAAACTGATACATTCGATCCCACGGTACCGCCTCCCTCCTGCACAGTCCGATCCCACGCTACCGCCTCCCTCCTGCGCAGTCCGATCCCACCCTACCGCCTGCCTCCCGCACAATCCGATCCCACGCTACCGCCTCCATCCTGCGCAGTCCGATCCCACGGTACCGCCTCCCTCTTGCACAGTCCGATCCCACGGTACCGCCTCCCTCCTACACAGTCCGATCCCACGGTACCCCCACCTCCCTCTTGCACAGTCCGATCCCGCAGTGCCGCCTCTCTCATACAGTCCGATCCCACAGCGTTCCTCCCTCCCAACAGTCCGATCTCAGAACCTCTCGGCATTTCCTGGTTGAAAGATAGAACAGTGCAGCACAGGAACAGACCCTTCGGCCCACCATGTCTGTGCTGACCATGATGCCATTCTAAACTAATCCCATCTGCCTGCACATGATCAGTAACCCTCTACTTCCCGCCTGTTCATGTGCCTTTTAAACATTGCTAACATATCTGCTTCTACCACCTCCCCTGGCACCGCATTCTGGGTACCTACCACGCTTTGGGTGAAAAAAATTGCATCGTACATCTCCATTAAATTTGCCCCCTCTTAACTTAAACCCATGCTCCCTAGTATTTGATGTTTCCACTCTGGGAAAAAGATTCCAACTATTAATTCTATCCATGCCTCTCATAATTTGACATACTTTATTAGGTTGTCTCTCAGCCTCCGATCCTCTAATGAAAATAATCCAAGTTTGTCCAACCTCTCCTTATGGCTAATACACTCCATTCCAGGCAACATCCTGGTAAACCTTTTGCACTCTCTCCAAAGCGTCCACATTTTTTCTGTAGGCTGGGTACCAAAACTACACATAATACTTTAAATGTGGTCTAACTAAGTCTTGTACAGTTGCAATAAGTTGCTAGCTTTTGTACTCAGTGCCCCAACTGATGAAGGCAAGCATGCTGTATGGCTTCTTTTACCAGCTTATCCACTAGTATTGCCACTTTTAGGGAGCTATGGACTTGTACCCCGAGATCTCTACATGTGTGCGCCAAGGAAGTCAATCCAGGTGTACCCCAACCAGAAACCTTGGATGAACTGGGAAATCTACTGCCCACTGAAGTCCAGGTTTGCAGCATTCAAGTTAGATGACTAAGACCTATACAGAAAATCCAGGTATGACCTCTGCAAACCCATCAGAGATACTAAGAGGCAATACTGGGCCAAGTTAAAGGCCCAAACCAACCATATGGACACCTGCTGCCTGTAGCAAGGCCTATACAACGTAGCAGGATACTAAATAGAGCTCAGCAAGTTAGTGGACAAAGACACATCCCTGCCTGTTGCGCTCAATGCTTGGTTTGAACAGAATGCCAGTGGCACGGTGTCACCAATCCCGACAGCCCCGGATTCACCTGTTCCCTCGGTCACTGCTGCAGACGTCATATCAATCTTCCTGGGAGTCAACCGAAGGAAAGTGTCAGGCCTGGATGGAGTCCCCGGCCAAGCACTCAGATCCTGTGCGGACTAGCTGGCAGAGATATTCACTGACATCTTCAAACTCTTCTCCTACAAACCAAAGTCCCCACCTGCTTCAAGTAGACCACCATCATCTCAGTACTTAAAAAAGCACATGCAGTGTGCCTTAATGACTACCGCCCACTGGCTCTGACCTCCACATCATGAAGTGCTTTGAGAGGCTAGTCATGACCCACATCAACTCTGGCCTCCCAGCCTGCCTCAATCCCCTGCAGTTTGCCTACCGATGTAATAGGTCTACAGTGGATGCCATTCTCATAGCACTGCACTCATCCCTGCAACATCTGGACAACATGGACACCTATGTCAAACTCCTGTTCATCGACTATATCTCCACCTTCAACGCCATTATCCCCTCCAGACTGATCTCAAAACTCCGAGACCTAGGAGTCTCTGTAACTGGATCCTCAGCCTCCTGACCCATAGACCGTAATCTGTGAGGATAGACAACTGCACTTCCTCCAAAAAAAACCCTCAACTGCAGCCCACCCCGCCCCCCAGGATGTGTTCCCAGCCCACTAATGTACTTCCTGTACACCCACAACTGTGTAGCCAAATTCTGAATAAAAACCATCTACAGGTTTGCTGATGACACCACAGATATCAAACAACGATGAGTCAGAGTACAGATAAGAGATAGAGGGTTTGGTGATGTGATGCAATGAGAACAATCTGTCTCTCAATGTTGGCAAAACAAAAGCACTGATCATTGACTTCAGAAAGAAAGGAGGAGAACATGCCCCCATTTACCGTAACAGAGCACAGGTTGAGAGGGTGGAGACCGTCAAGTTCCTAGGACTGATGATAACCCACAACCTGCCCTGGACTTCCCATGTAGATGCAACAGTCAGGATGGCACAATAATGCCTCTCCTTCCTCAGGCGGCTCAGGAAATTTGGCATGTCCATAAGGACCCTCACCAACTTCTACAGATGCACCATTGAAAGCGTACTATACAGGTGGGTTATGGCCTGGTACAGCAACTGCTCTGCCCAGGACCATAAGAAACTACAGAAGGTAGTGTGCACAGCCCAGACCATCACGAAAGCCAACCTTCCATCCATGGACTCCATTTACCTCTCATTGCTGCAGGAAGGCTGCCAACATCATCAAACACCCCTCCCACCTCAGTACTGCTCTCCTCTAACCTCTTCAGTCAGGCAGAAGATACAGAAGCTTGAACACATGTACCAACAGGTTTAAGAACAGCTTCTTCCCTGCTGTTATTAGACTGCTGAATGGAGTCTCTAACTTCAAATAAAGTTGATACTTGTTAATGCTTCACGCACCTCCTGTGCAGTGTAACCTGTATGCCTCACTCTGTCCAAGCATCCTATGATCTGTGTGTCCTTTCTTACCATGATCTGCCTGTACCACTTGCAAACAAAGATTTTCACTGTACTTAGATACACATGACAATGAATCAAATTAAATTAAATCACATCAATGCTTCTAAGGGTCCTGCCATTATAGTAGACTTTGTTCTTGCATTTGGCCTCCTATCACTTCACAATTGTCCAGATTAAACGCCATCTGCCATATCCCCATCCACCTTTCCAACTGATCCATGTTATGCTGTATCCCTTGATAACATTCCTTACTATCCACAAGTCAGACAAGTTACATTTTCATGCAATTTATATAAATTACAAACAAAGGTACCAGCACAGATTCTTGTAGAACACCACTGGTCACAGACATCTAGTCAGAAAAATACGCTTCCACAACTACCCTATATCTCCTATGACCAAGCCAATTTTGTATCCAATTTGCCAACTTGTCATGGAACCCACATGGCTTAATCTTCTGGACCAGCCATGAGGGACATTGCAAATGCTTTAATAAAGTCCGCGTAGACAACATCCACTTCCCTTCCCTCATCAATCATTTTCGTCACTTCCTCAAAAAACTCAATTAAGTATGTAAAATAAGACCTCCCCAGCATAAAGCCATGCTGACTATTCTGAATAACTCCATTCTTCTTCCAAATATGAGTAAATCCTGTCCCTAAGAATCTTCTTCAGTAACTTCCGGATGACTGATGTAAGGCTAACTGGCCTACAGTTTCCTGGATTGTCACTGTTGCCCTTTTTAGACAAAGTAAGAACATTGACTATTCTCCAGCCTTCAGGGACCTCACCTGTGGCTAAAGATACAAAGATCTCTGTCAAGGTCCTAGCAATCTCTTCGCTTTCCTCCCATCATGCACTGCAAATTCATCCACCGTAACATTTTTCATGACACCCATTGCCCCCTCCTTCTTAGTATCAACATACCCCTCCTTAATCTTACCATCAGCTCCAGAAACTATAAGCACTTGGAGCATCTGTGCAAAACCGATGCCTCCTGCTCTCAGGAAATAGTAAAAATCGGAGTGAAAGTGAGAGAGACCCTTCATTCTGGGGATGAGTTTGGGAAGACACCAGGCTCCAAGTGATCCCTGACCCCGAGAGGCCACACACACAGGATTAGGAGAATTGGAGACCTCACACTCTTAGGGGTGGGGAGATCTAGACACTAAAGAGACTGGGAGGGTGTGTGGTGAGCGGCGATATCCAAAGATTCTGTGGGATGCAGGAGGCCCCATGCTGGCAGGGAAACCCTAGATTCCAGTTGAGGTGGGAAGGGAGACCCTAGACTCCCCATTCTTCCTGTGCTGATGTGGATTGAGAAATCTGTTGGTCAATAGTGTGGGGAAAGTAGCCGCCCTTAGCATTTCTTGTGGACACGTTGAAGTCATCACCATTTCAGGGTGTAATATTCATCGAGGCTACATTCAGGCATCAGGAGCTGTGAATACTGGCTGCGTATTCTGTGGGACAGGATCAGGAGGTCAGAGTTCAATTGGTTCGGTCAGTCCATTCCATTCCTGATGAATCCATACTGCTAACCCATCCCTCCTTTCCCAAAAACACTCAACTAACCAAAGAAGACTACTGGAACACATATTTAAGAATTATATGGAAAATAAAGGAAGAGTTTTTTCTGCTTTGAAATGAGTTTTAGCATATGGTTTATTGGAAATTACACCAACTGTTTAATGTGTGCATTGACTCACAAGCTTTTATTGAGATCTCAAACTCAGCACCAAGCTCATGGTCTACAGGGCAGCGATGGTCCCCACCTTCCTGTATGCATCAGAATCATGGACCATATACAGCTGACACCTCAAAATCCCTGGAGAGCACACCAGCGCTAACTCCACAAAATCCTGCAAACCCACTGGTAGGATAGATGTAAAAAATGTGAGCGTCCTCTCCCAGGCCAACAGCTATTACAAAGATGTGGTTACAGCGTGACCAAGAACTCAATATTCAAGGGTATTTGATGTTCCAGAGAGTAGGCAAAATGAAAAGGTGGTAGATTAGCTTTGTTAATCAAGAATGATATCAGTGCAGTGGAGTAGGGATACAGTTGCAATCATATTGGGTGGAAATAGGAATAGCAAGGGTAAGAGTCATCGGTGGGAGTCATCTATAGGACACCAAAGAGTTGCCTCACATAGCCAAGAACA